TGGGATCTTTAAAGTCGACAGATTTTCAGCCACTATCCTATGACAGATTGTGGGTGAATGCAAATACCCTTGTGGTAATCTGGTGAAGGTGTACTGTCTTCCTTCCCATGTAAAGGCAAACTGTTCCATCTTGTCCTCAGGGATAGGTATGGTAAAGAAAGCATTGGCCAAATCTATCACCGCATACCATGTACCAGAGTGATGCTGCACCCTTTCCACAATCGTGATAACATCCGGAACCGCAGACGTTAAAGGAGGAGTATGTTTATTCAGCGCTCTATAATCCACAGTCATTCTCCATGAACCATCTGATTTCTTCACTGGCCATAAGGGATTATTCCACCGTGTGGTGCATGTTTTCAAAACTCCTGCCTCCAGATATTCTTTAATAGTGTCCGTAATTTCTTTCTGACCCCCAGGCAACCGGTATTGTTTTTGTGATACCACCTGTGTTGCTTCAGGAATGGGAAAAGGTGTCATTTTGACCTTGCCTACCAAAATGGTGTGGATTCTGTTTATACCAAAACAAAATCGACCATGTTTCAGATGAAGAGTCATTCCGGCCAATATATCCATTCCAATAATCCATTCCTTTGCAGGAGCCACTACTACACTGTAATTTCTAATAGGTTGATTTCCTATTTTTAAGGGCAAAGTTACTCCCTTTCCTACTAACATCTGCCCCCCAAGTCCAGTCAAAGGTACAATGTTTCCCTTTATTTTATCAGGATTGCCATGAATTACCGAGGCCTCCGCCCCAGTGTCAACCAATGCCATTACTGTCTGTACTGATTTTTTCCAATAAATCTGTAATTCCACATGTGGTCTGATATCATTTATTGACCATCCTGAGGCACTGGCAACAACCTGAGCTTGACCTTCATCCTATTCATCATCATGTTCCCTTCGGTGCTGTTTTTTCTTTCTACGCTTCACTGCCGCCACCTGATAACACTCATCTAAACTCTCCTCCTCTGAAGATTCCTTGGGAGGGGCGGAAGGTTCAGCAGGCTTCGACGCCACCTCCCTGATCACATTCTGCAACATTCCAGCCAATTCTGACACAGACATCCTGTCGTCCTTTTCAGGACAATGTCTGAACTGACAATGGACCTTCAGTCCCATTTGTCTGCATTTCTCCATCAATGCATTAGTGGGCAATCCATCAATCTCCTCAAACGGCACTCCCGCTTGTCGCAGTGCCCTCCACAGATCTGTTCTAGAGGGGCCCATTGCCCCCCCTTTACGACCCCTTGAATGTGGATCAATCCTGGGTTTATTTTCAGTTCTAGCTCCCTCTCTCCTCGTCTCAGACCAATCACCCAGCGTGGTGAGTTCGCCAAGACGATCTTTTATCGCAGCAAAAGTCTGGTCTGCCGCGCCAAACAACAAGCTGGTCACCATGGGTTTATAATGTGGTGGGGCATGTCTGATGAGGTGGTCTCTAGTTGCCTTAGAGATGTTACAGTCCACCACTCCAGCTCCCCCGTTTCGAGCCACTTGCTCTCTAATAGTGAGTCTGGTGAGCCGCTGAATGGCATCTCTCACTGTCTGCCATTGCCCTTTAATCTCAGACCAGTCCGCCGTGGTAGGATAGATTACATGACATGCCAGAGCATATGCATCCCCCACATTGAAATCTTCATCAGCTGGCAATGCCCGGACTGTAGCCCGGTATTCAGCATTTATCTGTGCATCAGTACTTAATCCTGAAAATCTCATGGCATCACCGGCATCTATGGCTATATCACATGCGCCATCCTCCATAAGGCGATTAAGCCAGGAGTGAGTTGGTTCGCCTGGGCGCTGTTTCAGCTTCCCATTCATGTGATTTAACTCATCTTGTGAATAATCCTCTAGCGTTGTTAGCAGCCTAGGGGCGGGTTGTGGCTGCTGTTGTAACATCCTTCTTATATTACCCGCCTCATCGAGTTCCGGCCGTCCCTGATCATCCACCATATCTACCAGTATTGGTGGAATAATTTGCTGTTCTCGCCGACGCCTAGTAATAGGTCTTTGTTCTGACATCTTTATCCCCTGTAATGATGGATACAAGGGCTGAGGTGGTGGGTCAGGTTTAATCGCCCACTCCTCCTCCTCATCATCCCCCCAAAGATCCCCGTTCCATTTCTCCGGGTTCCAATCTTCACCAACATTCTTTACAAACGCCCGGATCTGAGCAGGACCTGTTCTACGAGGTCGCTTCTTTTCCTTCCTTTGCGCTCGAGACACAAAAGTCAGCGTTTTATCCAAAACATTCTGAGCATGCTTTAGCTCTTTCCCCATCACACACACTCTCTGCTCAAACTCTGAGCATGATTTTCCAACTTCTTCAGCATGGATTTTCTCCTGCGCCGCTCGCTCTCTACAACTGCTCAATTCTAACTCCTGTTTTTTCCATGCTTCTGCAAAAAGCCACATCATATCTCTCACTCCTGCCAGCGGCGCTTTTTCTTTAACTTCTATCCGCGTCAAACGGTCCAGCACCACGGCGGGGCTGACCACTCCATTTAACTCTCCCCACGGCCCAGGGCGTCCACCGCGCTGCCTTAACATATCACCAATGGTTCGGAACTCCTCCGTTTCCCAGCCGGGAATCGGCACGGGAATCGGCGTTCCCTCCCCAGAAGCTCTCGGCTCCTTTTTGCTTCTCCAAAAACACTTCATTGTTGCTGGAATAGCTTGACTGATCCTGTTCGTGACGCCAAAAATGTTCTATAATAAAATGTTTTATTTTATTTTAATTACCTTAAAAGACTCAAAGTCTCTTTTTACACTTTATATTTATTTAGTCAGGATCGTTGTCAAGTCGACGCCAGAAACAATGAAACACAACTTGAATATCAGATGAACAACAAGGCTTTATTCAACCGGCATTCATACAAGTTATCAATCATGAACGAAACATTTCTCTTACCGTTGCTTATGGGTGGAGAGCTGAACACCCCAATTAGAAAACGTAATCCATGATAGGTGAAGAACTGAACACATGTAATCCATGAACCTCGTCAGGTAGAATACGCCAAGCAGCTCTAACCCCCCTGAGCCCTGCTCTGCTCCTTATACATTCCCTGATGTGCGTGCAAAGCTGCACACCTCTACCATGATTACCTTGATTACATCCTCATGATCACATTATGTTCGGCTCTACCATGATTACCCTTGATTACATCCTCATGATAAGTGTGACTGACAAACAGTAGTGATCAATAACTTATATAAAGCAATTATACAACAGATGACAAGTTCATTTTTATTACATTAACCCAGGCCAGGTTTCGCCTCGGCCAACAGTCCTGGGGGAATTAAAACTAATATACCGTTCTGGTAATAGTTCAGCCAGGACACCGATGTGCCCCTGACGGATCCATGTTTCCACAATGCAGAGTACGTCAAAGTTATGGGTTTTAATAAAGTCGTTCAGGAAGTGAGCCTTGTTCATAACCGACCTGGCACTGATGAGCCCAAAAGGGCGGGCAGATGAAGCAGCAGTCATAGGCAGTAGGGTTGGGCGGATCGATCTAAAATATCGATAGAATCGATCTAACGTTGTTATTGAGTATTTATTAGATACCTGCGTGATGATATCGATTCAGTTTCTTCTAATCTGGCAAGCCATGATGTACTCACCGCTACAGATGTCGGTCAGCGAGGCAGTCCACCAAACACCGTCAAAGAAGATGCAAAACACATCCTTTTCCTAAATAAACGTTAGTACTTCTATTTGATCTTGACTCAAACAAAAGCTAAAGTCATAATAGTCCAAACTTGATGCCAAAGCCATTTCAAATGAGTGGCTGACCGCAGACTAGTCAAGTTTTTTTTTTCCAATAACATCCCGCCTACTTAGTGTTGCGATTGGCCCATGAAATCTACAGAGCGCTATGATTGGACCACTATTGACTGGCAGCCATCTTGATTTGTAGTTTACCTGGCTGATACCTGTGATTGGACCGTTTGGAGCGGCAGCCATGTTGTTTGCAGGAACATCCCGCCTACCTCGCTAAAAGAGCGCTGTGATTGGCCCAACAAACCATTAAAGCACTGTGATTGGAATGCCACGGATGTCAGTCAACGGAGCAGTCCGCCGTTATATTTAAAAGAAGTAAAACAGTGCGCCAGCACGAGACAAGCACAGAACAGCAGAGAGCACTGTTGTGACTGCGTGATGGCAGACCGAAAAAAGCTTTACACAGCTTTATACATTTCAAATAGAAACAATCTTGAGTTTGTTAACCATTTTTAAACCATTTTGAGTTTCCTCATAAAAATTTGATAAGCCTGAAAACGTTTCCTGTATTTTATTATCATCGTACACATGATTTATTAAAGGAAAACTTGGAAAATAATTAAGTAATCAATAAAACTTGAGTTTTCGGACAAGATTCTCATATTGATGATGAATACATCATCAATATGAGAATCCTGTCTGAAAACTCAAGTTTTATTGATCTTGTTTATCTTAATAAATCCCACAAAACTAGATGGTACTTGACTAGTAGTAAAAAGTATCGTTATTGGTATTGGTATCGGCAATACTGGCCCCTGTATTTACTTGGTATCGGATCAATACCAAATTTTGCAGTATCGTACAGCACTAATAGGCAGCTGTAGAGCTGCAGCAGCAGCCGTAGTCCTGAGGCCCGGGGAGGAATCCAAGGCTTGCAGCTCTTCAGGTAACTCCCGTAGATTTGACAAGTCAGCTCCTCTATGGAAACAGCGCGTCTGCTCCAGAAAACGACGTGAACCAACGGTTAGATTCTCCCCAACCAGCGGAATCAGACACGGAGCCGGCTTCCAGCGTTGTCCAGTTAAATCAAACTGGTAATTGCCAGGGATGTTATCCAAAGTTAATCCTTCAGTCGAGCGGAGCATGCAAGCTCGCATGCTAGCCCGCAACCTGACGAGGCGCCACCTGATGGTCTGTAATAATTGTCTCTGGTTCTGATGTCGCTGATACACTGCTGATGGTTCTGTGTTGTTGTCCTGTGGTTTTGCAGGGTGCCAACCAACATGTCAACACAGGCGCCGACGTTCACTCAGCCGCTGCAGAGCGTCGTAGCACTAGAGGGTAGTGCTGCGACGTTCGAGGCTCAAGTTAGTGGTAAGAAAGAACCATCAGACCTCCAAAGGACGGTCCATCCGAGGGTTCTGTCATAACAAACCGCCTGGTTCTCGTATCCTCTGCAGGTTCTCCAGTTCCTGAGGTGAGCTGGTTTCGTGAGGGCCAGGTTCTTTCCACCACCGCTCTGCCCGGCGTTCAGATCTCGTTCAGCGATGGCCGCGCTGTTCTGAGGATCCCCGCTGTGACCGCCGCACACAGTGGACGCTTTTCTGTCAGAGCCACCAATGGTGCCGGACAAGCCACGAGCACTGCTGAGCTCCTCGTTACAGGTGAGACTAGGAGATGGGTCAGAGATGGGTTGGGTATGGGTTACAGAAGGTTTAGAGACAGGTGGACCAGCTGAAACTCCTGACATGCTCCTTTCTAATCATCAGACCTTGTCAGATCTTTAACTCTTTTTTTGTGTGTCTGAGAAGCAGAGACAGCGCCCCCTACCTTCCTTCAGAGACTGCAAAGCTCCACAGTGAGACAGGGCAGCCAGGTGAGGCTGAGCGCCAGAGTCACAGGAATCCCCACACCTGTAGTGAAGTTCTACAGGGAGGGAGCTGAGATCCAGAGCTCTACCGACTTCAGGATCCTGCAGGACGGAGACCTGTACAGTCTGCTGATTGCCGAGGCGTTCCCAGAGGATTCTGGGACATATTCTGTGACGGCCTCCAACAGCAGCGGGCGGGCCACGTCCACAGCTGAACTGCAGGTTCAAGGTGAGCTCAGCCAAAAAAGCTGTGAAGCAACTGCAGCTTATTCAGAATGCTGCTGCTAGAGTCTTAACAAGAACCAAGAGAACGGAGCACATCACTCCTGTTATTAGATCTCTACACTGGTTACCAGTAAACTACAGAATCTATTTCAAAGTGTGTCTACTAGTTTACAAATCATTCAATGGCATGGGGCCAGAATACATGTTGGATCTCCTTCCTGTATCTACGCCCAGCAGGGCTGAGATCCTTAGGAAACAGTCAGCTGGTAGAACCGGGTCAGAACCAAACAGGGTGACGCTGCTTTTAGCTACTATGCTGCTCCATATGGAATCAGCTTCCTCTAGTAACTTTCATGTATTCATCAGCCTTTGAATGATTGTTTCTGATGCTGCACCTTCTGCACTGTAACAGCTCAGCCTTTAACTGTCTTTTATCAGATTCTTAAACCTGAAATTGATTTAGTCATCGTCTTCCTCCGCTTATCCGGGTCCGGGTCGCGGGGGCAGCATCCCAACTAGGAAGCTCCAGACCGTCCTCTCCCCAGCCACCTCCACCAGCTCCTCCGGCAGAACCCCAAGGCGTTCCCGGACAAGATTGGAGATGTAACCTCTCCAACGTGTCCTGGGTCGACCCGGGGCCCTCCTGCCAGCAGGACATGCCCGAAACACCTCCCCAGGGAGGCATCTGGGAGGCATCCTGACCAGATGCCCAAACCAACCTCAACTGACTCCTTTCGATCCAGAGGAGCAGCGGTTCTACTCCGAGTCCCTCCCGAATGTACAAGCTCCTCACCCTATCTATAAGGCTGAGCCCGGCCACCCTTCGGAGGAAACTCATTTCAGCCGCTTGTATCCGCGATCTCGTTCTTTCGGTCATTACCCAAAGCTCATGACCATAGGTGAGGATTGGGACATAGATCGACCGGTAAATCAAGAGCCTGGCTTTCTGGCTCAGCTCCCTCTTCACCATGACAGATCGGCTCAGCGTCCGCATCACTGCAGACGCTGAACGAATCCTTCTGTCAATCTCCCGGTCCCTCCTACCCTCACTCGTGAACAAGACCCCAAGATACTTAAACTCCTCCACTTGAGGTAGGACCTCTCTCCCGACCTGGAGTTGGCAAGCCATCCTTTTCCGGTTGAGAACCATGGCCTCAGATTGGAAGGTGCTGATCCTCATCCCAGCCGCTTCACATTCGGCCGCGAACCTACCCAGCAAGAGCTGAAGGTCAGAGCTGGATGAAGCTAGGAGGACCACATCATCCGCAAAATGCAGAGACTAGATTCTCCTGCCACCAAACTCGGCACACTCCACACCACGGCTGCGCCTAGAAATTCTGTCTATAAAGGTAATGAACAGAACCGGTGACAAAGGGCAGCCCTGGTGGAGTCCAACCCTCACCGGGAACAGGTCCGACTTACTACCGGCTATGCAGACCAAACTCACGCTCCTCTGGTAAAGGGACTGAATGGCCCTTAACAGAAAGTCACCCACCCCATACTCCTGGAGCTTCCCCCACAGGGTGCCCCTGCAGACACGGTCATAAGCCTTCTCCAAATCCACAAAACACATATGGATTGGTTGGGCAAACTCCCATGCCCCCTCCATCACCCTTGCAAGGGTATAGAGCTGGTCCACAGTTCCACGGCCAGGACGTAAACCACATTGCTCCTCCTCAATCTGAGATTCAACTATCGATCAGACCCTCCTCTCCAGTACCTTGGAGTAGACCTTTCCAGGGAGGCTGAGGAGTGTGATCCTCCTATAGATGGAACAAACCCTCAGGTCACCCTTCTTAAAGATGGGGACCACCACCCCGGTCTGCCACTCCCCAGGAACTGCCCCCAATGACCGTTGCAGAGACGTGTCAACCATGACAGCCCTACAACATCCATAGCCTTGAGATACCCAGGACGAATCTCATCCACCCCCGGTGCTCCACCACTGTGTAGTTGTTTGACTACCTCAGCAACTTCTGCCCCTGAGATTGGACAGTCCATCCCAGGGTCTCGCGGCTCTGGTTCCTCCTCGGAATGCGCGTAGGTGGGATTGAGGAGCTCCACAAAGTATCCCTTTTACCGTCCAACTATACCCCCAGTTGACGTCAGCAGCTCCCCATCCCCACTGTAAACAGTGTGAGCGAGTTGCTTTCTTCCTCTCCTGAGGCACCGGATAGTTTGCCAAAACCTCTTTGGAGCTGATCGATAGTCTTTCTCCATGGCCTCACCAAACTCCTCCCACGCCCAAGATTTTGCCTCGGCAACTGCCACTGCTGCACCCCGCTTGGCTACCCGGTACCTGTCTGCTGCCTCCGGAGACCCACAGACCAGCCACGCCCTGTAGGCCTCCTTCTTCAGCCTGACGGCTCCCCGAACCTCTAGTGTCCACCAGCGGGTACGGGTGTTGCCCCCACAACTTGCACCGGCCACCTTGAGACCACAGCTAGCAACAGCCACCTCAACAATTGCAGAGTGGAACAAGGCCCACTCGGAGTCAATGTCCTCCACTGCTCTCGGGACACGGTCAAAGCTCTGCCGGATGTGGGAGTTGAAGACTGTCTTGACAGGTACTTCTGCCAGGCGTTCCCAGCAGACCCTCACTATGCCTTTGGGTCTGCCAGGTCTACGCAGCATCTTCCCCTGCCATCTGATCCAACTCACCACCAGGTGGTGATCAGTTGACAGCTCCGCTCCTCTCTTCACACGGGTGTCCAAAACATACGGCCGCAGGTCAGATGACACGACTACAAAGTCTATAATCGACCTGCGACCTAGGCTGCCCTGGTACCAAGTGTACCGATGGTCATCCTTATGTTCGAACATGGTGTTCGTTATGGCCAAACTGCGGCTTGCACAGAAGTCCAATAACGAAACACCACTCGAGTTCAGATCAGGCGGGCCTCCCAATCACACCCCTCCAGGTCATGCTGTCATTGCCCACGTGAGCATTGAAGTCCCCCAGCAGGACAATGGAGTCCCCTGATGGAGCACTATCTAGCACTCGTCCCAGGGACTCCAAAAAGGGTGGGTACTCTGAACTGATATTTGGCCCATAAGCACAAACTGTCAGGACCTGTTCCCCGACCTGAAGGCGCAGGGAAGCTACCCTCTCGTCCCCCAGGGTAAACCCCAACACACAGGCAGAGAGTCTTGGGGCTAACAAAAATAATGGATTTGTGTGTTTAATTTTATCTAAATTCTAAATTCATTTGCGTGTTTTAATTGTGCTGTCTTGTTGATTTTGATCTTGCTCCTGGAAAGCACACTGAATTGCTTCTATGAAATGTGCTTTACCAATAAAGCTGCCATGCCGTGCCTACACGCAGGCTGTAACTTCACCCACCAGGTCTAGAAAGGAACTAAAACTTCAGTTGTCTCTGCTGCAGGTGAAGAAATTGTTCCCATTAAGAAATCCAAGACTACTATGTCCACAACCCAGATGGAGACTTCTGAAACCAGAATGGAGAGGGTGAGTTTTGTTTTATTATTAACATGTGGACATCAGTGTTAGGGCTGGGTGATATGGACCAAAACTTATATCTCTATATCATTTTGCTGAAATCCGATATACGATATATATCTCGATATTCTTCCTCCTGTGAAATATTTAAAAGTTAACTCACTTCAAGCTGTCTTGAGAAATGATATACATAAATCAGTAGATTAAATACATAAAAATGTATTGATTCTTGTCAAACTTTAACCTCAGTGCCTATTCTCTACCTGCTGAGTTTTAGATACACTGGTACAGCTGTCTGCTAACACACACACACACACACACACACACACACACACACACACACACACACACACACGCACGCACGCACGCACGCACGCACGCACGCACGCACGCACACACACACACACACACACACACACACACACACGGTTGAGAGCTAGAGGTGTATCAAATGTCCCACAGGCACTTTTTAATTATATATTTATAATTAATCTAAAATTATTTTAACTTCATCTAGAGGTGGCCATATTGTATATTTCTTGTCCAGAGGAAAAAAAATCTATCATGTTAAACTAAATGTATGATGATCTAATTGCAACTACTGAAGATCACATGAGTCATGCACCGTGGAGTTATTAGTTATCAGGTCAAACATGGCTGGTATCTAACAGTATTGGCTCATGTCAGCCATTATACTGTAATGACTCAGAGACTGGTTGCTCTTTTATGAGTATTGTTTTCGGGCTACTGTCGCCATAACCCACGCCTTACAAACTCTTAACTTTTTCAACAGAATCGCTCGTAACGGAGTATTTACTAGCATAGCAAAACCGGAAAAAACCAGAACCAGAACAACATGTCTCACTTGTTGAGCTAGCCTTCAAAATAAAACATTAACCCATATAGTTTACTATTCAAACCCTTACAATACTGTAACCTTCTGCACTTTAGCTTTGTTCTATGTGAGAATGTCAGCAGTATGTGTTCCATGTGCCACATTCTTTGCGGCTAATAGTTTTGTTGTGCTGAGTTCTCTTTTACAGTAGTAGAGTTGAGGGTTGTTCTAGGAAGGGAGAGTGGTTGTGAGGTTTTTGGTCTTGCGCTCTGTCCGTTGGTTTTTGGTTTTGGGCTCTGTGTTTCGGCATTGGTTGCGGCCAACAGCAACTCTTTTGGAGTCATTAAAAGGACTAAAGCATAAGTGAGCGTCTCCGACCGTTATTGTGTCCGACGGGACGTTACAATACGTTTGAGGTAATTTGGCCACTCGGGCTATCCATAGATGTTTCCTGATTACACAGGGGTGGGAGGGGTTTGGCTCGTCTCCACACAAGCAGGCTAGAAAAACAGAACTCCGTTGGCGTTAAACACCCCCAAATAATTAAAAGCCATAACCCAAATGCATAGTTTAAAGCAACACATTCACCTAGAGGCTCTCAGATTGAGCAAACTTGTGAGAATGCACGTAATAACCGCTTCTCCTCTGTCAGTGCGCCCCAGGGCAGCTGTGGCCACATCGTAGCACATCCCCACTAGTGTATGAATGTGTGTGAATGGATGAATAATACATTGTAGTGTAAAGAGCTTTGGAGTCCTTACTCTGAAAAGCGCTGTACAAGTGCGGGTCATTTATCATTTAGAGATGGAGCAACATGTCACTAGCGTAGCGGCTAATCGCTAGCATAGCAGTTTGACCTGTTATATCGATATAAAGATTTAAAGTCATTGTATCTTGTTTAAAAATAATATTGACATTTTAAATATATTGATATATCGTCCAGCCCTAATCAGTGGTATGACACCTGAAGAAGTCTGAAGACGTAATCTGAACAGGGTGTGAGGGCTTTGGATGGAACAGGTTTTAGTTACACTAAGGTTTACCCATCAAGTTCAATAAAAAACCGCTTTTTACTTGTTGAAATATAATCGGTCACTCTCATGCAGGCCGAACTTGAAAATCTCTAACCCTATTTCCTGTAATAACTTTGATAGAAGAGAGAACAATTGGATTAGAAAAGCCTGACAGATCTACGTCAAACTGAAAATGAGCATTCATGGACTCACTCATCTTGACTCGTGTCAGGGAAGGCTGTTGTTGGTTTAGCGTCCAGGAAACAGATGAAAATGTGTTTGCTAGAAGAAGCGAACCGTTAGCATTAGCAAGTCCACCACATGGCAGAACTCCACTAATAAAACCCTGCTAAACCACCTGGTCTATGCAGAGCAAACCGAGTCAGTGGTAGAGTCACCCGAACCTGCCGCCCTCTGCTCCCCTCTCTTCTGGTTTTTCTACTTCCTGAAACAGGAGCGCCAGAGCATTTTTGCCCACAGAGATGGAGTCAAATAATCATTTATACTAGAGACCACTGCAGATGTGTTAGGAAAAAACACATGAATGAGAGATCAGGCTAGGGATTGGTTGGATAGAGGAGTAATGGGTACTCATTGATATTTTATCAGTATAAATTCAAACAAGGAGCAAAATGACTCTGTAACATTTAAATTGATGTACAACCAGCTGGTGTTGCTACTGCTGCTTCTCATCTCGAAGCATTCATTAGACCAACTATTCTCACATGTCCGATTGGTTGAGAAAGTTGTCTCCTACATTTAGTCTCTGGGTAATGTTTTGCCCTAAACATTACACTTGAGTCTGTTGCTTTTCGTTTCTGGTGGACATTTGTTTGTGTTTAAACCTGTTTTTGCTTTGAGTGCCACATCAGGCTTTGTTTTTCCTGTTTGTGTGGGGCACCGTAACCCTCTGTACCGTGATTTTAATCTACTTTAGAAAAACTATCCACATTTTTATCTTACATTGGAATTAACCCCAGGTCAGGGTTTAGACCAGGTCTTAGGAGGGTTTGTTTGGCCCACTCTCAGTGTTCTGGTTCTGCTCCTCAGAAGGTGGAGACCAGTTTCCAGACCACAGCCATGATGGAGATGCAGGTTGAAGGAGGAATGATGACTCAGCATGTTGCTCACAAAACCCCGCCACGTGTCCCCCCAAAACCCTTGTCCAGGTCTCCACCGTCCTTTGTTTCCAAGGTAACCGGGGGCCGTCAACAGTCACTGTCCCCTGTGAGACACGTGAAGGGCCCAACGCCCACACCTGTCAGGTATGTCTACCTGTGGCTCAGGTGCAGTAGTCTTTCTGAGTCATGGTGTCTGATGTTGGGCTTTGGTCTGCAGATCTGTCTCTCCCTCCAGCAAAGTGTCCATGTTTCCAATAAAACCCGTCAGGTCTCCTGTGATGACCAGGAAGCAGGTGAGAACATGCATAGGTTAATCAACTCTCAGACCTTGTGAGGAACATCTAAGTTCCTGTTAAAAGGTTAGGTTGAATATGGTGAAGAACCCTTCTTCTGTGGCAGGTGTCTGCCTCTCCTGAGGTTCTGCCTCCCTGGAAGCAGGAGGACTATGTGGCTGAAGGCTACACCAGTCTGACAAGTATGAGCAGCATTTCTGCTCAGATCCACCTGGAGCAGCAGTGGGAGCACCAGGTGGCCTCCAGCAGAGAGGTGAGCCTGCAGTTTGGGTACCCGTTTGTTTGATAGGATTGTTGTCATGTCGACCAGGTCACCGTTCTGAGCATGGGTCCAGAGATCCTGCTGTCTACTCCGTTACAGGAACACTAACCACCGAGGGTCCACTTCTGACATCATAATAGTTCTTTTTCTGTAGAACTTTCAGGTTCCTTCACAAACAGAACCTTAACTCTTGGGGTCAAAGGTCACATGGTGTCCCACAAGCAGCACATCTGTGGCATGTTGCTGGAGGTCTACCTTCAGGTCTTTGGCGCTTGTGTCTTTAGGCTGAGGGAGACAAGAAGGCTGAGGCAGTCGCCGCAGTGGTGGCCGCCGTCGACCTGGCCCGGGTCCGGCAGTCCCCGTCCCAGGAGGGGGTCTTGACTCAGGAGGACCAGGAGATCAAGAAGGGGAAGAAGCAGCAGGGCCTGCAAGATGATGCCATAAAAACTACTGTGGAGGCTGACCAGATCCAGAAGGTCCAGCTGGTCTTCTGACTTAGCAGAATTTGATCTGCCTGGTCTTAGAGTTCAAGTTCTTCTAACCCCTCATCTGTTGGTCACTCCAGATCCAGAGCGTTGAAGTTTCCTTTCATGTGGACTCTGGTGTCCCCCAGTCCACTGTCCCACATTTCACAGTCTCTAAAGTCTCTGTCCCTAAACCAGAACCAGGCCATGAGGTAAGAAGACCAACAGGCCTGTCATCCCCCCTTCCAGAACCCCCATCTCATCCCTAACACACATCAGTTCCTCCTCACTGGTCTAAAACCTCTCAGGTTCTACAGAACTCGGTTGTCCAGCCGCACCTCCACACTCCTCCCTTTTCTTCTCCAGCTCCTCTACCGTAACACTCCTCCTCTAGGTTCTAATGCGTTTTGTATTTGGAGCAGAAGGAGGCAGGTCCATGTAGAACTTTAGACTTCTGATGTTCCTCCACCTCAGGCTGCAACACGTCCCTAAAACTGACACATTCTTTCAGAACAGGAAATGGATTCAGTCCAAAACCAGGATTGGGTCCAGTTTGAGGTTCTGAGATGTTCCGAAGATCCAATCTGTCCTCAGACTAAAGAATTCGGGTTCCTCCTCCACAGAGCACAAGGTCAGGGACCATTCTGGTGTTCTGAGGGAGGCTAAAGGTCCGATTGCTCGGTAGGAACGATATCCAGAACCATCATTCATCAGCACAACCAAATGGACCAGGGGAACCGTCACCTACTTCATAATTAAAATTCTGATGTTGACCTGGTCCAGAAGTCACACTGATCTCTCTAGATTCCATCTGGGTTGGGTCATAACCTGAATGGAAACATGGTCAGATGGGCTGGGACTTGAGATCTTTGTTAGAAGAACTGGACACTGTATTCTCCAGAACCAAAGAAGAGAATGTTCATGGTTGGAACATGGTTTCCACAGTGTCAAGGCCGACCCGGTCCTGCTGGACTCCAGAACTTCTTCAGGGGCATAGAACCAGTGTCAGAAACCTCAAACTAGTTTTACTGGGACATATTCCAGCCTGAGCTGAAGGACCTGGATGTGTTTGGACCTGTCTTGCTCTGATCTGTTCTGCGTCAGTCCTCCATCCCGTCTCCACTCACTCACTCACCCTCAGCAGGAAGTGGACATCTTCTAACCCTCTTCTCATTGGCTGGATCAGGTAACCGATGCCGATTCTGCCATCGCTGCTCTGCACAGAGACCTGTCCTCCCCCGCATCCCCCTGGAAGCCCATAACACCTGTCAAGTCTCCCAGTCCACCTCGCAAGGTGGGGACACTGAAGCCCCGCCCAGCCCTGGAGCCCCACCCACCCCCGTTCAGAGACTTTACGTATCAGAGGCAGTTTGAAGGCGGGGCTTATGCTGTGAGTGAGGAGGTGTTTGAGGACTGGGAGCCTCAGGTTTGTCCTCCTCCGTCTCCTCACCTTAAATCACCTGTGGTCCCTCCCACCATAACACACCGACCAATCACACATGCCCTTCATGAAGACTCCTCCTCCTTTCCTTTGTCCCTCTGCAGGGTTTTATGTGTCCTAACCCTCTTCTTCCTCCATCCTAACAGAACCAGAACCAGAACAACCAGCACCTTGTTTCACTCCTTCACTCTGCTTTTTGTTTACTCAGGAGACGGTTTCTGTCCCAACAAAAGCCTGTGAGCCTGCCGTTCCCCCTGCCATCATTGCTGTAAGTACATTTCCTGTTTCTCTTTTCAAAATAAAGCACACGATCTGGTCTGTTACATAGAACCTTCTGCTGTTCTTCAAAAACAATAAAAAAACACACAAATCAAAGAAAAGCAACAGAATCCCAGTAAACTGGTTTCCGTAGTAGGCCACCCCCAGTGTATCCAGATATTTACTAAGTTTGTGCTTGTAAGATGAGCTTTTAATTTGAAGGGTCTTTTTATGTTTTTACAACAAACAAATTCAGTAGGAGATCCAGCTGTTAGAGAAGGACCTGGCTGCAGCACGCAGAAAGGGGCGGCGTCAGACTCATACCATATATGGAAAATGCAACACTTATGTTCCAGAACTGAAGGGGGCGCTGTAACTAATGTCACCTAAAACGTAAGACTGAGGAAGACGGAGAAGTTCGTTGATTGAACCGCTTTTGTGAAGGTTCCACATCATGAAACGTCACCTTTTAGCCTGTTTTGCCATGTGATATTGTCGTTTCCTCATGAGGAACACCCCCAAGTCCTTTGTTGGCTGCATTCTAAGTCCATGTGTGAGCAGAGGATCAACTCAAACGCTGCTTAGAAACGACCAAATTCAAAGATCTTTAGACACATAAAATTTAGTAGAAAATAATCAAAAAACTAAAATACAAATACATGAAATCTGTTTCAGCTGCTAAATAAATGACTGCCACACCACCTAGAGTCGAACCGGCGTCAGCAGAGAAACTAAAATCAGGTGGCAATGCCACCAGACCATGACAGGTATGCTAAGTTATGTTTGGAGCGGCCGTGAACAGAGATTCACTGAAAGGAACCTTTTTTAGGATATGAATTCAGACCTTGTCGTGTAGTGAATTATATTTATCTTGCTTAAACTGAACCTAGAACAGAGTTTTAACATTTGTAAGCTAGTAACCGCCGTAGTTCATATGGGTCTGACGACTCGCCCAACCCCGACCCCGCCCCTTTCTGCGTGCTGCAGCCAGGTGTGTTTAGCTGTTTGGCATTAGAGTTTCCTAACAAACAGGAACTTAGTTTTACAACAACTGGTTAAAACCAGGTGAATAAAATCTAGTCAAAGTTCAACAGAATAAAGTTTCAGGAGGTCAAAGAGAATCGATGATGTCCGCTACGCTACTGCAGATAACCGATGGACTTCCTGTTTCCTCTCAGGGTCTGAAGAACGTGACGGTAACTGAGGGTGATTCGGTGACCATGGAGTGTCAGATCAGTGCTCATCCTGCCCCCGTCATCATGTGGTTCAGAGAGGACTACAAGATTGAGAATTCCATCGACTTCCAGATCAGCTATGAGGGCGGTTATGCCCGGATGACAATCCGTGAGGCGTTTGCCGAAGACAGCGGCCGCTTCACCTGCACCGCTACCAATGAGGCGGGAACCATCAGCACCTCCTGTTACCTGCTGGTTAAAGGTAACCAGGATCAGCAGAGTTTAGTCATTGTAACCAATTATAATCCACCTGGAGCTGGACCTGAAATGGTCCCACAACAGAGCCTTGGGGTATGCCTCATAGCAGATCAGTGGTGTTTGACATCATCTGAAGCAGTTGAAGAAATCTGGACTGGCCTGAACGAGTTCCTGGGATCTAGACCATGTCTAAACCAGTTCCTGAGATCTGGTCCAGTCTGAACCAGTTTTGCTGTGTGTTTTAGTGTCGGAGGACATAGAGAGCAGAGAGGAGGTGATGGTTGTCGTGGATGCCGGACTCACACAAGCAAAAACGTGAGTGCCCTAGCCTCGTTGTTCCAATGGTGGTTCTACGACCTTGGAGTATTGGAGTTGACTCCAAATGTTATATCTTATCAGTGTTGCTATGGAGATGAAGGACCAGGTGGAGATGAGTTCTGGAGAATCTGTTGCTCCGTTCTTCATCAAGAAACCCATCCCCCAGCAACTGGTGGAGGGGGGGAGCATCATCTTTGAGTGCCAGGTGGGAGGAAACCCCAAGCCCCACATCATCTGGAAGAAGAGTGGCGTGCCACTCACCACTGGCTACAGGTACAGGTCACAGAACCAGAGCTAGGACACAATAATAATAGTGACTTATTTGTAACGCACTTTATATTTTAGCAATCTCAAAGTGCTACAAAGTTTATAAAATGTACTTAGCAAAAGGCTCTCCTGATAAGATAAGTCTAAAAGGCACTCAGGTGGATGGGTGAGGCATTCCTGTGACATGAATCTCTGTTAGGGTGGTGGTTCTGTTGGGTCAGAGATGAGGTTCTTTTCATCTATCAGATATAAAGTTGCCTACAAGAAAGAAACTGGAGAATGCAGACTGGAGATCTCCATGACCTTCGCGGATGATGCTGGAGATTACACCGTCTTCGCTAAGAACCCTTTGGGAGAAGCCTCAGCGACTGCCAGCCTGCTGGATGAAGGTATCTGAATCTTTAGGTCTGGTTCTGTTTACTGGACTAGTTCTTTACAGTGTCCAAGCTTAAACATGTGGTCCAAGTCTGAATCAGTTTTAGACTGGACCTTTTTACCCACATTATCTAAAGTCATTCCAGAACCATCCTGGAGTTCTGGCCAAGTAAACCTCCATTCAGAAATAAATGTCCTCGACCCAGACCACCAAAGGTCCTGGATCTTTACTCACGTTTATAGACAGCAGGTAACAGAATCCTCTCAGATTTGACCCAGAACTGTTGCTGTCTGCCTCATCCCATGAGAGGCTCAAAAAGCAATGTAGATTTGTTCTCCTGTTGACCCACCCCCAGTTGGAGTTCAAATGACTTTGTATAGGTTATAAAGAAAAGTGCCCATGTGACATTTGACATGTGTAGCTTTGACCCCTGGTCGAGTCTCCTATCAGAAGGAGCTTCAATTCCCACTTCTGGCAGAACTTCTGTCCTGGGGAGGCGGGGGGACATTCAGCATGAGTGGGTCTTGTTCTGTACCTCAGTTGTCGAGATGGCTAACTAGGGCTGTGGCCGCAGGGTGGTCGGTACCTGTTGTTGAGGACACCGACAGTGAGGGATGCTGCAAAGCTGAAGAAAGAGACATTTTGGGTCATCTTGGCCGGTGGAGCTCCATGGGCAGCTGATTAGTAGATTTAAGCTTTAACTAACATCCCTCATACATTTTTGCCCTTGGGAGTTTTCTGCTATGGTCTGAGTGATCATTTTGATGTTGCTAGTTGTAAAAGCACTAAAATGCTTAAATGCAAACCACTCATTATTTGCCAGAAAATTTTTAAAAAGTTTACTGAACATTGTCATGATTATTCTTTGGTTAATTGGGGTGAACTGGTCTGTTGCTAGATGTCGACTTAAGTCCTTATTCCCCGGTGTATGATAGAACTGAGGTCAGAACTGTCCGACCGGCAGGTGGCAGGTTCCTAACGCACCAGCTGCAGGAATAAAGACGCTTAACCCTCCCACTGTCTTTATGAGTGACCCCGCGAGGAAAGTTGACCATTAAGCAGGGTTGATGGTTTATCCCTTGGGTCTATGTGGCAGGGGTGAGCATCACCTCACCCCTGCCACATAGACCTCAAGGGATAAACCATCAACCCTGCTCAATGGTGAACATTCCTCGTGGGGTCACACCCATTAGGACAGTGGGAGGGAAGAAAAGAGCACTGATGCTTCTGATGGATCTATGGAAATACTGAAGGAACTTAAATCATTTCAATCAGAAACAACAGGAAACTTTGATACGCTGAGGAAGGAGTTGAACGACATAAAATGTAACTTGGATGAGTTAAAACCAGGGTGGTTGAAACCGAACACAGGATTGCAGAAAATGAGCGGAACAATCAGCTGGCTTTTGCGTGACCTTCATCACCACCCTCTCCTTCTGCTCTTGTTCCGCCTTTCCCAGGATCCACTGATTTCCCTCTTCCCTGCACATTTTCTCTCTCCCTTTCCTTGCATAATATTTTTTCTTCTTTTAAACATATTTTGAATCATTTATGAAATCCTTTTCTACTTAAATTTTGTTTTTGTGAAGCCCCTTGTGATTTTTATCTTGAGAGAAGCTATAGAAAAGATCGTCTTCTTCTTCTTTAGTATATAAGAATTACCTCCATACCTCCCATACCTCCAAACAATTCATCAACTATGGCAAAATAAAGGAACTATTCAATATTTTCTTAGCCTTACAATTTAACATAGACTGAACTTAACTCAAAACTGCGATATTTTTGCTAATTTCACTTCTAACATATGCTATGAGTGGCTTCTATTCGTCAATAATAACGCCCAAAAGCCTGAATTCTGTCACTCTCTCAATATTTACTCCATCTAGGATCGAATTAACCTTTATAGAGCTTTTCTGATTTGTAAACAAAATGAATTTTGTTTTATCTAAATTTAATGGCATTTTTTAAACCATGTTTTCAGTAGAGCAATTTCTTGTTCAATAGTTAACATTAAAAATTTTAAATCTTTCTGATACAAAAAATTGGCGTCACCTTTAAAAAGTACAAAACATAAAATATTGGATTGATTACAGAGGTCATTTGTCAGGTTCGGTGGGCTGAGCTGGAGTGGTTATGAGACCCAGGCGCGGAGAGAGTGGTGGATGGAGACTGATATGTGGCAGCGTGGGAAGTTCTCTTCCCGTATGGTTTGTAGAGTTAGTGTCTTAGGTCTTAGAATGGCTTGGCGTCTATCGTTAGATGATGACTGAGTGCCGGCTCCGCTGTGACAGGTCCTTAAATAGGCTCAGCGGGATGACGTCACCGGGAAGCGTCGGTGACAGGCATGCTGGGAACTGGAGTGCAGCGCCAGCCCGGCCCGCAGAGGAGGTTAAGAGGAGGAGTTCATGGCAGGACCCCCCCCGCGAGGGACGGCTCCAGAAGGCCCAGGGCGACGAGACCAGAAATCAGCCAACAGGGAAGGATCCAGAAACGAGCGGGCAGGCTCCCAGCTACGTTCCTCCGGACCGTAACCCTGCCAGTCCACCAAATACTGCCATCCACGGCCCCGGCGGCGGGAGTCCAGAATCTTGCGGACGGTGTAGACGGGGTCCCCATCGACATCTCGGGGTGTCGGCACCCGGGCCGGAGGCGGATGGAGAGGAGAAGACACCACCGGCTTGAGCTGTGAGACGTGGAATACCGGGTGCACCTTAAGAGTGGAAGGGAGGCGCAGCCTGTAAGCGACCGGACCGAGGACATCTCGGACTGGGAAGGGCCCCAAAAAGCGAGGCGACAGCTTCCTGGAACCAGCCGGAAACCGGAGGTTTGCGGTAGAGAGCCAAACCCGGTCACCAGGCTGGAACACAGGGCCGGGCCGGTGGCGGCGGCAGTGTTGTCGGGAGTACTCCGTATTAGCCCGGGTGATGGCGGCGCGAGCCCTGATCCAAGCGAGATGGCAGCGGCGGACCATATCCTGAGCCGCCGGAACCTCCACCTCCGGCACCTGATGGTCAAAAAGAGGGGGCTGGTATCCGTAGCAGGTCTCGAAGGGCGATAGACCCGTGGCGGAGGACGTCTGGAGGTTGTGAGAAAGCTCCGCCCATAGGAGGTAACGAGGCCAGGTGGACGGTTGAGACGAGGCGAAGCAGCGTAAGTAACGCCCAAGCTGCTGGTTTGCTCTCTCCGTCTGACCATTAGTCTGGGGATGATAGCCTGACGACAGACTGGCAGAAGCGCCCACCAACCGACAGAAAGCCTTCCAGAAACGTGAGATGAACTGAGGCCCTCTGTCAGACACCACGTCCTGGGGGAATCCGTGGAGCCTCACCACATGATCGAGGAGGAGCTCCGCCGTCTTCTTAGCCGTGGGGAGCCCTGCCATAGCCACTAAATGCACAGCCTTCGAAAAGCGGTCGGTGATGGTGAGGATGGTGTCCAGGTGGTCGGCAACGGGAAGCCCCGTGACAAAGTCCACACCTATGTGCGACCACGGCCTTTTAGGCACAGGGAGCGGTTGCAATTCCCCGGCTCCAGGTTGGGTGGTGGACTTAGACCGGGCGCAAGTGTCACATGCAGCGGTGTATTCACGCACGTCCTTTCTCATAGAGGGCCACCACAGGGCCCGGCGGAGGAACTGGAAGGTACGAGCCTGGCCTTGGTGTCCCGCGAGCCGTGAACTATGCCCCCACCTCAAGGCCTCCTGTCGACACACGGCCGGAACGTAAAGGCGGTTAGGAGGCGTCTCTGGGGGCGCCGGGTCCGCCGGGAGAGCCGCCCGGATGGAGGCTTCCAGGGGCCATTGCAGGGCGGCCAAGAACCGTTCGGTCGGGAGGATGGACCTCGGTTCAGGAGGCCTTGGATCCTGGGTGTGTTGACGGGACAGGGCGTCCGCCTTGAGGTTCTTTGAGCCGGGGCGGTAGGCGATGTGAAAGTTATAAGGTTCGAAAAAGAGGGCCCACCGGGCCTGACGAGGGTTGAGTTGGCGAGCGGTCTGAATATGGATGAGGTTCTGATGATCAGTCCAGATTAGAAAAGGAGTGGGGGTACCCAGGAGCCACTGTCGCCACTCCTCCAGGGCCCACTTTATCGCCAACAATTCCCGGTCCCCGACCCCATAGTTCTGCTGGGTAGGAGAGAACTTCCGGGAAAAGAATGCGCAGGGATGGAGTTTGGAGTCCTGGCCACGTTGTGACAGTACGGCTCCCGCGCCCGTCTCAGAGGCGTCCACCTCCACAACGAAAGGCCGGGTTAGGTCCGGGTGGAGGAGGATGGGCTCGCTTACAAAGCGGCGGACCAGCTCATGGAAGGCAGCAACAGCCTCCGGGGAGAGGCGGAAAGGGCGAGGCTGATTGGTTGTTTTCGTCAGGGAAGTTAATGGTGACGCCAGGGCGCTGAAGTTGCGGATAAACCGGCGGTAGAAGTTGCAGAACCCCAGGAAACTCTGCAACTGCTTCAGGGTCTTGGGTAGTGGCCACTGCGCGACCGCCTGAACCTTCTGTGGGTCCATGCGCAGGCCCTGGGAGGAGATGATGAATCCCAGAAACGAGGTGGACTCCTGGTGAAAAGCACACTTCTCCAGTTTACAGAATAAGTCGTGCTCCAGGAGGCGTGACAGAACGGCTCGAACATGCTGGGTGTGTTCCTCGGCCGTGCGGGAGTAGATGAGGATGTCGTCCAAATAAACAAAAACCCAACGACCCAGCATGTCACGGAGGACACCAGTGATGAAACGCTGGAAAACGGCAGGGCTGTTGCAGAGGCCGAAGGGCATGACCAGGTACTCATAATGTCCAGTGGGTGTAATGAAAGCGGTTTTCCACTCCTCTCCTTCCTTTATGCGGATGAGGTTGTATGCACTGCGGAGGTCCAGCTTGGTAAACAGTGTGGCTTGGGCAGTGGCGTCCAGAGCCGTGCTCATTAAGGGAAGAGGATGGCGGTCCCTGATGGTGATTTTATTCAATCCACGATAGTCTATACAGGGCCGGAGGTCACCTTCCTTCTTCTTCACAAAGA